TAGTCCACCCATATTATGTCCATCAGCCCCAATCTTCAGAAGAGGGTCACCTTCTCTAATCTTGACTCTGTTTTTCTCACATAAAGACCTGCACCAGAAGCACAATTTGGATTAGAAATCCAAACGTGCACTTATCTGGGGAGGTTAGAATTGGGGTGTACTTTTGGGGGATGGAAATTGTGCCTCCACCAATGAGGTAACCTCAACAGGTTCACTAGATATCCTTCGCTTCCTCCGCCACTCACTCCCTACCGAAATAGTTACGGGTTTGAAAACCACCAGGACAGCAATGGTCTAAAAACAAAGGAGCCAGCATCCCTTTACTGTGGATGTTGGCTAGGCACCCTGCCCCGCCCGCCCGCAGGGGGCGCGCGCACTTCTTCTGCGCAGCTCACCCAGGGAAGGTGTGACCCAGAGCAGCGAGTTAGCGGGTGCAGCAGCCCAGCTCACAGAGAGTCGCAGAGGGTCGAAGCTTAAAGACAGACACACTTTGGGCTTTGGGTGGTTTTGCTGCTACAACACAACTGTACTATTGTTGGTGCCGTCCGTCTCAAGTGTTTGGAGTGACCCCTGTACCCTGGCCCTGGCGTGTAGCTCTGAGTACCGGAATCGCTCTCGGACGCTGCCAAAGCGCTCGAGGCTGCACCTGCTGGCGGAATAGCCAGATGCCCTCCAAACAGGCCGTGAAGGTTATCTCTAGTGGACAGTCTTTGCTCAGTCACCAAGGTCGGTGCACAATAGCCACCAGGCCTCCCCAAGCCTCAGAGGCAGATTTAACCCACTCGCATCAAACTAGCCGCTCCAGTTTCCACCTCGTGCCCCCCATGAACACCTTCCGCTCCTCATTGGGGTTTGTGGTTCCTCGTGATGAGTGCTCAGAGGAACTATTGTCCTGCACCCTCGAGGGGACAGATACAGGCTGGGAGAAAGGTATCACGCAGAGCCTTATGGTGACTGTCCCAGACCTTTTAATTTCACAGTCGGCTGGTGTGTGTGTGTCCCCACCCGACTACCCGAAAGCACTGCCACTGTTCATTCTGGTCAGGATCTGGGACTCTTGGTTTCCTCCTGACAACAGCCATCCTCCAGCTATGCTGGGAGCAGGCGGTCCAGGCCTCGCCCCCAGGCGGACACGGTCCGTCGCGCCCTGTCAGCCCTTTGTTCGCGCCGCAGCGGGCTAGTAGCAGCTGCACGGGGACCGCGGCGCCGAGACGCAGAGCTCGAGGAAACCCATGTGTTTGGCGCTTTCTCCTCCCACTCTTGAACCAAGGAACCCTTCCAGCTCCCGCGTCCCACACGCCCAGTCCCGGCTTCTCTTTCGGCCTGCAGTCTTCCAGGATTGGGGAAGTGCGGTTCCAAGGGCCCAGGATAGCACTCCTGCCTAGTTCCCGGGCCCAGGGAGGCAAGGGGACACTTGAAATGTCACCGTCCGGGATAAATATTAACAAAAAGCAAATGGACTTGTGCGGGGCCAGTTATCAATCAACCAGGCCGCAAGGCCACTCACAGCAAACAAGGCCCAGGTTGGGTCGGACGAGACTTTCTCAGGCCACCTCCGGGCAGAACACTTCCCTGTCCCCTCCCCCCCCCCGCCCCCTACAAGGCTCGTATTCTCCTCCCGGTCTTTCTGGAGAGAATAACCACTAGAACGGGGCGAAATGCCGGCTGCTAGAGGCCGGGCCATTTCCCCCGCGTGCATTGGAGGTTTCCTGGCCTCCATCGGAGTGGCACAGCACCCACCCCCGCTCGAACCGCCTTTTGAGTCTATGGTGCTGCGCCCCCGATGGGAATCGCTTGCAGCCTCTTCCCGCGCCGGCAGCTCCCGCCATCTGGTCGAAGCCTTCTGGAATCTTTAATTGGAAACTAATCTCGCGTCTTGATAAGTGCCCACGACAGGGGCGGAGCATCCACCCGTCCTGCCCAGCTCGCCCCCCCCACTCGGGACCAGAAGCGGCGCGAGTCTGATCGCGCTGCGTTTTAATGGGCAGCAAGTACTGCATTGAGGGAACATATATTGATTTTTTTTTAAAGGTAGTTAATTTGGTGAGAATTTCCTCCTGTCGCCCGTCTTCCACTAGCGCTGTAATTTCATGACCAGAAGGCGCTCTCCCAAACACAGTGCCACGTGCAGAGGGTTTTGACCCCGGACAACAACCTGCATGGAACACAGAGGATGGAGAGGGACGTGGAGAAGCCACCTTCTCTCAGAGGAGCCAAGGAATCAAGTTCGGGCCTCTCATGGGGGTTGGGGGTAGATGGGGGTGGTGTCTTTGAGGGGGACTACAGGACAAGTGCAAGAGCCACGCAACGCACACGGGACAAGCAGGAACTGCGGAGGTGGGGGGGGTGACTGAAGTTGGGCAACAGCCAAGGTCAAGGCGCCCAGCAGTTGGTTTTCAGGTTCCTGCACTCAAGGGTCTGTTAGATATCACTTACAGGATTCGGAAATCAACCTCACTTTAAAAAGAAAAAGAGAAAGAAAATTAACGAGATGGCTGGTGGTTCTTCAGTGACTTAAAACTAGGTGGTGGCTTTTGTAGTATGATGGGATGACTCTGGATTCCTTGTGTGAGGCCCTTTAGGACCCTCACTGCACACTCAGTCTTAATCCTCCCCACCAGCCCTTTAAGTTAATAAAAAAATTAAAAGGCAAAGTTCCATCCAGGTCTCAGGACAGCGAGTTCCCTCGGGTTTGGTGAAAGGAAGTGTGTCCTGCGGTAGTCCACTTTTTCTAGGAAAAGGTCACGTGCCTGGGACCAAGAGGAGAATGTTTTGATACGGGGTGCTAGGAGCGCAGGCAGACGCCTCCTTCCATGACCTCCTGGGTACCGTGAGCACCTGCCCAGCACCCAGCCGCTCTTCTGGCCTGTGAATCCTAGCACTTGGGCCGCACTCCTAGAACTTGGGCTCTGCTCTCTGTGCCTGGAAGTCAGAGTGTGCTTGCACAAAACAGTGCACAGGTGGGGCTTCCAAGATTCGGAGGTCGCCTCTGTGTGAGGCAGTAGGGGAGGGGGGCCGGAAGAGGGTACAGTAATTGAAATTTAGCCTAGTGGTGGTGGGGAAAGGCTGGGGACTGGACTTTCCTGAGGGAGTTCCCTTCTTTTCCCCTCTTTTTCCACCTTTCTCCATCCCACCCGCTGGTTGACCTCAGTGAGTAAAGTCTGGGCAAAAGGTCCAGAATACCAGCTCTCCATGTGGGTGAGTATGTGAAAAGGCACTACTTTGAGGTTCCTTAGAGGCGGAGCAGTCAGCGCAAGGAGCAACCCTTCTCCCACCCTTTTCCGAACCTCAACTGCTCACAAGGTCTTGGTCAGCCCACCCAGGGCGAGATGGTGCCAGCATCCAAGGCTAGAGTGAACACATACGGGAGCCTGGGATTCGCGGGGCCACGTCGTCAGCCTACCCCTTCGGGGTCTTCCTACCAGCTGCTTTGCCTGGCTCCTGGGTGCAGGCAGCAGGAGTCTGCGTTGAGAACTTTGCTTGTAGTGAACCTGAGGATTGAGCTAGGCTGGGAAATGTGGCCGGGCAGAGACTCAAGCACCGTGGCGCTGAGGAGGGGAGGCCTCTCGCGTCCAGACCCAAGGAACGCTTTGGTTCGCTGGGGGGCTCAAATCCTGGGCTCGCTGGCACCTGCCTCCCCCTAGCTTCTTATTGGCAGGAGTGAGGTGGGGGGAGGGGGCTTCGACCTTACGCTTTGATTTTAGGCTGTGAAACGGCTCAGTGCCCCCGGCTCAGTGCGGATTGACTGTCTCTCCTTCTCCAGGGACGAATTAATGGAGAACGATCAGTTAATTAACAAACCTTCATTCTGGCTTTTACCTTTCTCTTCGCCGAGGCTAAGGCCTGGGAGCGGGGCTGAGATGAGGGTGGGGAACATGGGATTCTGGAGTCAATCAACTTAGCAACGTCAGTCCAGGTCACATCAAACCCAGTCGGCTCTCGCCTGCTCTTGGCTCTACCTCCCCTCGTGTCCTTCGTCTTCAGGGATCGCCGAATGCTCCTGAAATCCCCCGTGAAGTTTCGCGTGGGTTTAGCTGTCCCCTAGGTCTATTGGTCGCCTAGGGGAGCCATAGGAGGTGTCTGCACTGAGAGAGAAGGTCAACTCTGAAACAGCCGGTGCGGAGTGTCGGCTGGGACGACCTCTGCTTGCTGCTTTCAGCGTCATTTACACACTCCCACCCTCCTGAGCGGGGATTTAGACGCAAAATCACGAAGGGGGATAAAACAAAATGCAAAGTCCTAAGCAAGTCGATAGCAAGGCTGTTCTCACCCGGACCTCGGCCGCTCTCACCGGACCTCGGCACTAACCGCCCCTCTCCCTCTCTTTCCACAGCAGGTTCCGAGCGCAAAGTGCAAGCTAACCCTTTCGCAGCGACCCCACCACACACCCATCGCCCCCACCACACACCCATCGCCCCGCAGTATAGGAACGTATCGCCCGCACTCTTAAATTTAGTGCGGTTCCTGGGATCCTGCACAGCGCCAATTAATACGAGCGCTGGAGGTTCAGCCAAACATTGACCTGCGGCCCGGGCGGCTCGGGGCAGCTCCAGTTCTGCGCTGGGTGCATGCCTAAGGGTACTGGAACTGGAAGGGGGCACCTACGCGCAGTTCTAGGCACTCTTCGTCCCCTCTTCCTAAAGCTATTAGTGCTCAACGAGAACTACGCACAGACCGTATCCCGCCAGGTTCGAGGATTTCTCCCTGTCTTGGGCTGTGCAACTCCAGCTCTGTTCCCGAGCAGAAATACAACCCCGCAGTGGGCCAAGGACGCTCCGCTTAGCTTCAGAAGCCTTCCATAACCCAATGCACTGAGCCCTGGAGAAGGAGGTCGGCTCACAGAGCCAGGTGCTGGCCCTTCCAGGTCCAGGGACCCCCTTGAGAGGAAGGGGGGGCGGGATGAAGCGCGCCCAGCCTTCTCTCATTCCCTCCCACCTTCGTTTCCTTTGGTTTCCTTGTCCCTTATCTCGCCCACGCACCCAGCTCCTTGGCCCGCTCACCTGCTAAGCGGAGCGCAGACATGCGCTGGAACTCCGGCTCCTGCAGCCACTTCCACATCCTCCGGAAGGTCTCCCGGCCGGACTTGAGTTTGCTCCAGGGTTTGGGGTTGCGCAGCAGGTCCGAGAGAGTCCCCTGGGAGCGGCAGAGCACCCTCTGCGCGAAGATGGCCTGTGGGATGCTGTAGCGTTTGAGCTCGGTGGTGATACGCTGGGCCACCTCTTTGGTATTGATTTCTTCCATCTGCCCTGAATTACTTCCATTGCTGACCTGCGCGCCGGTCACCGAAGGGTTGGGCTCCCGGGCTGTGCCCAGGAGCTGTCCGTGGCTCTGGGCGTTCAGGTGGGCATGGGGGTGGTGCGGAGGAAGGCCGTTGATGGGCACCATGCCGGCCGAGGTGGGCGTGAGGTGCTGCTCTCCGTGGCGACCAAGCATGGCCGGGTGGTGGGCTTCAAAGCCATTAGGGGTGAGCATCTTGTCGGTGGGCATGGCGGCGCCCGGGTGGGCATAGTGAGGAAGCCCTTGCTGGGAGTTGTGGATGCCGCCCAGACCGGAGCCGGAGAGGGGCGAGAGGCTCTGGCCCATGCCAGCCACGTCCTTGTGGTAGGGGGTGTAGAGGTTATTCATGGAGGCCAGCCCGCGATCGTCCCGCATGAGTGTGAAGCTACCGCTCACGTTGCCCGCCAGACGCTGGTGGTGGTGCGGGTGGTGGTGGTGATGGTGGTGGTGGTGATGATGGGGAAACTTGTCCGACACGGTGGAGATGGGCGGCAGCGGCTGCAGAGGAGTTAGGGTAGTGTAGGTGGTGGGCATGCTCATACCTGGGGGAGTCTCACAGGCCATGGTCATAGTGGGGTGCAGGGGGCCAGCCAGGCTGTGCTCAGGGGCTCGGTGGTGGTGGTGGTAATCGCTGCCTCCGCCGCCGCCGTCCAGCAGGGACGCCATGCCCATAGAGCGCGGATGCGCGGGAGGCAGGTGGCTGCCGCGGTGAGCCACGGAACTGCGCGCGTGGGGGCTGCCGCCCAGCAGGTCGGCAGGGGCGGGCACCGGCTCATGGCTCACCCCGTGCAGCTCGCTGATCGCCTCCATGGTCAGCTGCGCGTTCATCGTGATCCGGGCGAGCGGGCGGCGGACACAACATCGATGTGGCCGGGCAGAGGCGGCGAGGGGCGCAGGGAGTCCGGTCTTCACATCGGCTGCCGGGCGACTGTTGCCTTTCTTCCTTCCTCTCACTGTGGGGTTATGTCTCTCTCTCTACGTGTGTATGTGTGTCTCGCCTTCTCTCTTGCCCCCACCTTCCCCTCTGCGTCCTAGGCTTCTTTTTTTTTTTTTAAATATTAATTTCCAAAAAGGATCCGCGCCGTTGGGAGAGCGCGGTGCCCCTAGCCCGCCCAGCCCCGGCCCCCTCTCGCCCCTCTCCTTCTTAGAATTGTGAGGCCCCCAGCTCCCCTGACGCGGCCCGCGCGCCTGCCGCGGCTGCTGCCTGCCCGCGCCGCTCGCCAGCTCGAGCCATGGCTCGGTTAGTGTTGCAGACTCTGTGGCTGAGGTTCGGTAGCCACCGCCGCTGCCGCGGCCCGCCCTCACGCCCGCCGGGCGCAGCGCGCATGCGCGCGGCTCGGCCCCTCCCCCCCGTCCGGGTGCTCCGGGCCGGTGACGTCCCTGTACAAATGAAGGAGGGGGTCCTGCGCCTTCCCAGCGGCGCCGGATGGCCCGCGAGCGCTGGGCACGTGCTAAGGACTGGCGCGGAGCGCGACCTGGGGCCGCCGCCACAATCCCGGGAGATTTGCTTCCCGCTTGCCTTCCTTGCTCGGGTGGGCTCTCTCCTCCCAGCCCCAGGCGCTCCTGCCCAGCTCCTATCACGGTTGGCGCGGTATGCTTGGAGAGCCATCGCCTCTCGGGCTTCCAGTAGCTCTTTCCAGGGGCAGGTTGCCAGGGAAGCTGGAGATTATCATCACCCCTTCCACCCTAGCCAAATAAGCTTTATTTCTTGTAGGGGTGCTAGAAGCCGGCGCATTCTCCACCTTTACATGCCCTGCCTATAGGAGTGTGTGTGTGTGGGGGGGGGAAGGGGTTGGCGCAAATATCATAAGGCTTGGGGCAGTTTGGCGGTTGTTGACCCGGCACCCTTCCTGCTCGCTGACACTCCTCCGCCCACCCCGTCTCATCAGTGCCCTGGAGAGAGGAGCACTCAGTGCCAAGAGTCCCGATCGGGGCCGTACCTCTTGCTCCCCAGTCGCCTAAGTCCTTCTTCCGCTCAGTTATAATTAAGGCTGCGCGCTGCTTCGCCAACGACTGGGCTTGCGGGGCGAGGAAGGGGAGGGGAAAGAGCGCCCCTGTGGGTTTCCATGTTAACTTCCGGGTGCTGGTGGGGCCGCCGAGGCTCGGGCCATTCCTGTGGTTGCTCCATAGCTCTCCTAGGAAAGCACCCAGAGACCACTGCCTGGGAGAAGTACTGACGCAGGCAGAGTGGACGCGGCCAAGGCCGTGTGGGGACGCCTTCTTTCCGGTGTCCCCGAGAGAAGCCTCCAGATTCGAAAATCAATTCAGCTTCGGGCGTAATCGCGCCCGTCCCACAGTCATGTTCCAATCCGGAATTGAACCTGGTCCTTAGGCCTGGTGGGGACGCGTGGGGAGGCCCCCAGTGTGGGGACATACACCCGGCCACCACATGCCGCGGCTTTCTTTCATTCACAAAAGAAAGAAAAAAAATCTGTAACAAAAGGCAGAGCCTGTCTGCTTAGGTGCTTTCATTCCTTGGAGAAAGGACAGATGTGCCCATTGTCCTGCCCTTGGCAGTTATGGCCGGGTCAGCGCCGAGCCTCAGCCCCGGGCGAGCGGTGTTCACAATGGGATAGCTTCTCAAAGTCTGGCTATCTGGGCCCAGATATGAAACAAAGTATGTGTGGCCTGTCTTGGGCCAAACTCAGACTATAGGTTTGTTTGCTGAAACATGGGGCTAGAGCCCACAAACCCTGTTGCCTCTGTGAATGTTTCCAGATCCTTGGAGGGGCTAGGGCTGAGGTGATGGTAATGGTGGTGGTTGGTCTCCAACACAAAGGTTTGGGCTGGACAAGTCCTTGGGGTGGTCACTACCAGCTAAGGCAGGAGCAGACCCATCTCTGCCCAGGTCCCTGCCATCACCAGGCAACTTCATGATTCAGGTAGGTCACATCAGTGTGTCCAATCAGACTTCCTGGAAAGTGCCATGCTCTGGGACTAGCTAATCTGAGTGGTTTTATTACTAGAAACACTCCTATCCTATCCAAGCAATGTGTATGGAGGCCCAGAGAACGGGGTCCATCTCAACGAACTTCATGTCTACTTGTTCATGAATATGTAGGAATTTGTAACCCCTAGAGAAGAAAATGCCTTTGGGAAAAATATATTGGCCAAAAAGAACTCAGAAAACAAAATTACTCTATGTTAACTTATATCTATATCTACTTCTTCATATACACATTCTCAGACAAAACCAACATATTTTTCTTACTTGAACACTCAGAAAATTTCCTTTTATTAAGAACGTGTAGTAGGCTTTTTCAGAATGGCACTCAGCATTTCTGATGCTTGCAAACAACATATTTTCTGTCTAGTGGATCAGGTTGGTGTGAAGCTGAATCCTTTCTTATTTATCATTTCTGTTTCTTTTCCCATAGCATAGAGCATTTGACTTTCATATAAGACCACACAATGGGTTAAAGTAACAGCTCAAAGCAGCCTTTGAGCTAAATTGCACTCTCTATATTTTAATCCCACCGAAATGATTGATCTGCCCTATGACAACTCTCTTCCCAAAAGGCAGTGTGTTAAAAGAAAGAAAGAAGTAAATACTACCAAGTGCACAAATTGTTCATGGTTTTCTGTTTGTGTAACTAATTAGGGACTTGATCCTGGAAACCCTTCTTCTTGTGACTCTCCCAGCTGAACCCCTGGAGGCCACTAGAAAAGAACTGGGATCAGGTGAGCTCAACTTTGTCCACTCCCCCCCCCAGGGACTTTGTAAAAAAAAAGGGGGGGGAGGGAGGGTACTACCTAAAGGAGAAGCTAAGGGAAGGATCTGAACAAGTATGTGTTGGGCTTGTTTAGTTCAATGTTTGACACTTTTTATTCTAAAACATTTCAAAAATGCCTTAGTTTGCAAATCTCTGTCATCTTTCTTGGCTATTCACATTTTTTATTTAGCCATTGTTTTCTTGTAGTCAATGGATTGTAGAGATTTCTCAGTCAGAAAGAACATATTATTCTTGTTTTAAGAATTTAAATGCTTAAGGATTCTTGATGGAACTCATCAGCATTTCTGATGCCTGCAACCAATCTAGAATTAAACTCCTGAAGAGGAACCATTTTCTTGATATCTGACTACAGTAGAGCACTTGATAATGGGGCAAAGGATTTGGTACTGGGCACTTCTGCCAGCTTTTCTGTTTTCCTCTGGAAGGAAGCTTTTCTCAGGCTAGTTAAGTAAGGTGAGTGTGCATGTTGAGGGTGGGTGCAGAGGAGCACCAGATTACTAGAGGACTGAGATCATTTTTTTGTCATTTTGTCCACCCTCTTTTCCTCCCTCCAAGTGCCCAGCACATACTTGGCATCCTAGATGCACTATGGGGCATGAGGGAATTAAGAGTTCAAGGAAGAATTCCTTGAAACTTCCAAGTGTTTCCTTTCAATATGTGCTATTGAGAGCATGGCTTATACTTAGCTGCTTAGTTCTGAGTAGCTGAGGAAATTTAAAGGAAAAAATAGTGTCAATCAATATCAGAAAATTACATATGAGAATATATGTAAAAACCAGAAATAAGACTGTCAGCTGGATGCTTGTTGCTAGCAATATTATTTTCAGTGTGGAAACAAGGATTTCAGGATGTTTATGTTGTAAATGCCAGGAGAAGCGCCCGGAGGAAGGAAGAGCTGGTGCAATCTGTTAGTCTTATACTACATGGGCTAAAGTTTGCCAGGCAACCCTAGCAGGGTTGGAAAAGAAAAAGAATAAGGCCATTTTTCTAAATGTTGGCCACATGAGGTTCTCTAAGAGCCTTCCATAGGCTTCAGAGTTAATGCTTTCATTCTCTTTGTGAGCAGTAGAGATGTAACACATGCCCCACTCTATTTCAGGACCGTTCTGAAGAAATGTTTCTAGCCTCTCTGAACCATCAAATGTTTACCTCTAGTAGTTGGCCTCACAAGCATCAATCCTGAGTGTCAGGGCAAATTTTACTCTGGTTAGAGCCTCAGAATGGAATTCACTAGCATGTCTGATGCCTGCGGCTGGTTTGGAATCCAACTCTTGGTGAGGAACCATTTCCTCAATATCTGACTATAGCACTTGATAACTGGGGATGAAGGATTTGGTTCTAGATGCTTTCTGCCTGCTTTTCTTTCTTCCTTGGAGTCTTCCCACCTTTGGGGAAATTTTACTCAGAAAATTGTTGTTGGCTTAGAATAGAGAATTAAGAAATTTAGAAGAAAGTGGCCTGATAATTCACTATAAAAAACCATTGGGAAAAAAAAAAAAGTAGTCACCAGGCGGGAGTGCAGCTCAGTGGTAGAGTGCATTCTAGGATCAAGACTCTGGGTTCCATCCCTGGCAGCACCACAAGAATAAAAAACTAGTCAATGATCTCTCTTCACTCTCTGGGGGCCAACTAAGTGCTAACCAATTATTCTAGCCCTCTTCTCCAATCTTTGATCTTCTATTTAGCCAATAGTTTTAATTCATCTGTTCGTTTAACCTTTTCCCCCCTTTTCCTTCCTACTGTTTTTTTTTTTGCCAATGAAAATATTTTAAACTCAGTGTTTTTTTGCACTTTCCTTTGTTTCATCTCTTATTCACATCTCCAAATCCCAAGGAGAAGACGCCTGCGGAAGGGCGGAATTAGCTGTGCCAACCCAGCTAATTCCGAGTCCCAGGAACTGCCCAGAGCCGCCTGGGTGGCGGTCGAAGAACGCTAGACTACTCTGCGTGCGTCTCTGGTTACTTCCTGGGCAGAGGAGGAAAACCGCTTGCTCCTTTGGGATCCTGGGTGAACTAGAGATTTCTCCAGAGTTGAAATCTATTCTGGGGGTCGCCCACTTTGGCGAGGACTTTCAAGGATTCAAGCCAAGAAGGGGTGTGTTCAGATGTTGTGGAGTAGAGAAAGGGGTCCCAGGCTCCTAGGTGACCCTCTGGTGGCAGGACCAAGAGCTGGGCGCAGTCAGAGGGAAGTTGGCCTCCTGTTGCCAACTTTTCAGTTGTTTCCTTTCTTGGTCACAATTTTACAGTGTTGAAGTATTAGGGGACCTGCCCAGGTCACGGTCACGAGGAGCGGATAATTGCTCCTTTTCCCGTGCCTTCTCATATGGGGCTCTGTGCTGGGTTAGCAGCGCCCAAGGGTGGAGAATATCAAGGCTGAGGATTGAAAGCGACACGATTAAGAGAGAGGACCCTAGAGTCTGATGTAGTTCAAAGCGACCCGAAGGAGGGACAACTGAGAGAGGCTGATGGAGCACGAAGTCACCTGGTGATGGTCTCCA